TTCCCCCAGAGGAGCTGGAGGAAGTGTCTGGAGAGAGGGAAGTCTGGGCATCTTTGTTTAGACTGCTGCCCCCACGACCCGGTCCCGGATAAGCGGAGGAAAATGGATGGATGGATGGGTGGATAGTATGGGTTAGAGTCACTGAGACTATTTATGTTGATAACACTGGATAGTGACAGCTACTTACACCAGAGTTGTGGTTAGCACGTGTGGTGCCCATGGCCTGATTAGCAGCATCTCCCCGCAGGTTCTCGTTGCCCAGGTTCAGAGGAGGGGGGCTTTTCATGTCCAGAGCTCGATTCAGGTTGCCATGGGAGAAGACGGAGTAGCCAATACCTACACAGTGAAAGAAAGGAGCAGGAAGTGAAAAGAGATGTGAGCTTGTTTCACTCACAGAGGAGTAATTTATTTTTCTGTAACAGATACTTCACCTCCCTCTGTGCCTCCAAGTGTGATAAAAATTAACTTCTTCTTTTGGTTTGACATTTGAATTCATATCTGATCTTTATGGGACTATTTATTCCAGTGTATGGACTGACTTGACACAATCTGTTTGGGCTGATCATTAACCAAAAATCAATTATTAGGAAAACAGGACTAATAAAATTTAAAACACTATGACTGTCAGTGATCAGTGTGTAATGACATCATAGTGCATCCAAACAGTTAAAGACTATAAAAGAGCTTGGCATGACTAGCAGGTGTACATTCTGTACAGAAACCACAGAACTGGTTACAGCCACTGTTACACTGGTGGAGGGCCAGTTTCACAAAACAGGCTGACTGCATGTGCGCACACACACACACTTCCTGTGAGTTCACAGCCAGCTGCACAGTAAGTTTATAGTATATGTGAATTTCACAGCAAGTATTTACCAAGAAGGCTACAAGAATGTTTAATTGATTTTCACACTAAATGCTTTGGATCTATTTTAAGGGAGAAAAATGTTCATTGCTCAATATTTCAAACATATGGTAAAAAGTGATAATAATATGTTAAGCATTGCCAGTTTGTAACTTATGAATTGTTATTGTCTTAAGCGACATTTAATTTAAAAGCTATTTTCCATAAAGTGAACAGTATTAGTTGATATTTTTCTCTCAGCAGAGGTTCATTTTTCAAATTGTATATGTTTCATTATGTAATTAAACATTTTTATTAAGTTAACAAGTTAAGCAGTTCTATATATGAATATTAAAATAAATCAAACAAATCAAGAAATTTAAGAAGGTTCTGTATTAAACTTTACTCCTCTTTGTTATAAAAACTGCTCTTTCTGGCTGCATACAGTTTCTAGTTATACACAAACACAGTATAATGATGTACTGTTGTCAACATGTTTTTGCACAAATAGTCCTAAGAGAAATTGCTATATGTTCACTATATATTTCAAATAAAATTATTTTAAAATAGTGTTTAATAGGAGCAGCCAGGTTCTGTTCACCTGAATGTGGCGTCATGAATGCAGTGTGTGCATGTGGTGCAGCAGGACTGGCAGAGCTGGGTCTGGAGCTAAGAGGTTTAAAGCCTGGCGGTCTGTGGGAGGCCATACTGGACCCCGATGCGCTGAGGAAGCTGTTTTCAGAGCCTGCAGACACCAGGAACTGGGATTCTGGAGAGAGTAGTGATGGAGCCTGAAATGTAAAATATAAGGACAGTATATGATTTTATGTTAACACAACAGAAAGGGAATGTTCAAATAAGAATCACCATCATAACTTTGACAGTAGTATAAGAGCAAAGTTGATGACAACTAAACAAATCATGTGTTTTATTTCATTAAACATCAGTTGATCACTTTTCTTCTAGTCTGCACATGTGTGTTGTGTGCTCATGCTTGTCTATGCAGTATGTGGTCAGTGTGCAACAGCAGAAGTGTGTGGACTGACATAGAAACGTTGGCGAGCCACGGAAAGATCCATGCCCTCGCCGAGAGGACATTTGTCTGCGGCCACCTGCACGCTCGCCTCACTCTCAAACTCTGAGCTGTCAAGACCAAGGCCTTTCCTACGCAGAGTCTGATGCAGAACAGAAAGTGCACATGAAAAATTACCCACAATAATAGCATGCAAATTTTGAAAAGCAAAAGTGACAAATGAGGATTTTACTCTCAAATGCAACACCATGTACCAATTCTGGTAAAAGTTTGCCAACTGAAATTCACATTAATGCTTCCTCCTCTGAAGTAATCACTTAACTTCACCACTAAAGCCCACTTTACTGTCATTTCTTTTAACTGTAGCTTGGACAGTACCTCCAATATGTCTGTGTTGGTGCGACTCTCATGCGGCTCGCTGTACTCTGTGTATTTCAGCAGCACTTTGTCCATGTCTGTGCTGGCATACTGGAACAGACGGTTGGTGCTGTTGAAGATGATGAGGGCAATCTCACAGTCACACAGCACGCTCAGCTCATATGCCTTCTTCATCAAACCAAATTTACGCTTGGTGAAGGTCACCTAAGACATTAAACCACACAGAGCTTTATGTCATCTTACTGCCAAATTCAGCCAACTTATTTTGATTACTCTAAAGTAGAATATGTTATGAATTTGCTCGAGTGTTAATTAGCTATAGGAATGAATGGGTGTACTTGGAGCCAAAATGAGCCGTAGCAGAATTACACTGTAAAAAGAAAACAGTAATTTTAACTATATTCGAATCAGTTGAGATGCAGTCATCATACGTATAAACTGTTTGAGATTAACAGGGATGGCTAATTAAAAAACATACTGGTCTGTGTAAAATTGAAAAAAACAAAAATTCCGTTTTTTTAAGCTGAACAATGAAATCCAAATTTACAAAGGCTGTTGAATCTCAGTTATAGCCTTAAATATAGCCTTAAATCACAAGTTTGTCTCAGAGGGCTTTATAATCTGAACAGCATGCAGTACTGTCTGTCCATTCAGACGGGGGATATGTCCAATAAATAAATAAATATTTTTTATCAAAAACCTTCTGTCCAAAAGACTCAAATGATAAACAAATCGTATTTTCCAGCACCATCAACACAGTTTAATTCATTTTTCTTTAATCTATTTGATGCATTTTTCCACACTGTTCATTTTCACACTGTTCATAGTGAAATGCAGAAAACCTATTCCATTTTTTTTTACATTCCAATCAGAACAACTCTATGACACGCATGTAGAGTACTGTCTACTTCTTCTACTTCTACTTCTTCTTCTGTCTGCTTCTTACTGCATAGCTTGCACATCAGCACAAAATACGCTAACTGTTTTTCTGAAAGTGAATCCTTGTAATGTATCAACTACTATGTCACTACTTCATCTACTTCATGATTACTTTATTCTGGAGCCAATAAAATTGAAGGAAGCAATGAAAAAAAAAGACAAACATCTCCAGATCCTAAAGTGACAGCTTCAAAATGCCTGCTTAGTGAACCAACAGATTTAAAACACAAAATATAAAAAAAAAATTCAGTTTAAAATGATATAAAACACAAAAGCAGAAATTCCTCATATCAAAAAATAACAATATATTATTCAAATATTAAAATAGTCACAGCGTAATTTACTATTGATTGACTAATCCCTTCAGCTGTAGTCACTGAATGAGTTACTATGATGCTACACAAATAAAACAGTTCTGATTTTAGTTCCAATATACATGAAATACTGCGTGTACTGTGGGCCCACCTGTCTATTCCTCTGGTCCAAAATACGAGAAATTTGTATTTTCTTTCTTCCCATTTTTCTGACGCCTGACTCTGACACCTGTGAAAGAAAACATAAAGTTCTAGTCACAGAATACAGTATGTTTGTGTTACGGGCATTCATACTGCTGCAGTGAACAGCAACAAACAAATTTACTTAAACACTAAGATTTACAGCCTTTCATTTTCTAGCTGAAGGAAAATAAAAATTGGGTAAAAAATTGTTTCTTGAGGTGTAAAATCATATGTGTACAAAGTGTTCTCTAAATTTATGGTTAATTTAAATATATTAAAAGTATGGATATACATTTTACCGTAACAGCAGTAGTGTGTAATAATACATTTCTTCATGTTCATATAATTCTGATGGGAAAATGTCATCTGTTTGGTGACTCAAGTCCATTCACCCTTGGTAAGGGCAGGGTGTTTATTTTTACCACCATGAGGCGATGCGGTCTAAAGTTAGAGAGGCCCTTGCCGGGCCAGCAGTCCACGCAGTCTGACACCCCCACAGTCTGGGTTACCCCTGGGCCAACAGCGCAGCACTCAACTGCACCATGCAGCCCCAAGAGACAGGGTTAAAAATATAGTCAATAGCCAATAGGTGAGACCAAACAGCAGAAGGAAAACGATGTGTTTTTGAAAGATGGCTGACACTAAAAGCCACCCACTCCTCTCTCATGAACAACCAGGTCAGAAAAAAAAGCAGAATTTGGAAGGGCAGAAGGCAAAGACATGGATGGATTGTGGTTGGCTTGAGAATGTCCATTTTTGAGACTCACACCCGCTGTTTGTCTGCTTTTCTTGGTCTAGAAAACCCCCTGCTCCTGTCTTTCTCCCTGCACAACCGATCTATGGAGAAATCATGAAATCACAAGGGGCAACCAAGTGACTCTACTGCAATCACCATACACCACTAAATCAAATGCATAGGGTTAGGGTTGGCTCCATGCATGAGTTATCTCCATTTTACACTCACTATTATCAAGTGGTGGTCTGACTCCTCTGACCTGACCATGCAGTACTTGTCCAATGCCCAGAGGCATTTTGCTTGTTTTTCCCCTAATACTGGACGTGTATTGGCCTTCTCTATATTTAGTTCCCTGTCCCTCCTCATGGTGCCTGAGCGGATATGGCGTCTGTGTTCCCACGACCCTTAAAGTGCGCCCGCTGTCCCTCAACGTAAGCTTGGCACACAGTCATCTGGGGGCATTTCTGAAAAAATCCACCTCTTTGCCCTGATTATTACCTTATAAAGTCTTGTGATAGCCACTGCAGAGACAAGACACACTTCAAAACTGACAGCTGCAGATGAAGTCATCATTGTCCCCTTGTAAAGAGCACACTGCTGACAAAATTCGAAGTAAAGAACCACAAAAACCAGTGTTGGTCTAACAACTCGGCTACCACAAAGAACTGAACTCATACCAGGCAGAGCTCTTCTGTTTTTCTGGACCAGAAGTGAGACACTTTAACCTCATATCAAGCCATGTTGCTGGTGAGAAGAGAGGGAAGTGGGACATATGTTCTAAACAGGGCAGAAAGATCTTTATCTCAGAAAGTTCCTCTCCTCTCAGATATAACCTAATGACAGCCCTGTTAAAACACATGACTAGTTAACAGCTACACCTCCAGCCAACCTTTGCAGACCTATCAATAGAATTCTATGTGGTTTGGTAAATTTATTGAAGAACTAAAGGGTGGGACAGGCAGGAAAAGCCTGGCTATGCCTCACACATCAGCTAATTCTGGTCGTTTTGTACAACAACTGAAGTTTTAAGTCTATGAATGCACCAGATCCACCTGGGCAGCACACACCTACTGCCATTCATCTCTAGGGCCAACTCCAGAACCTGTTACCACCAAGAAAAGCTGGACATAAAAGAAAACATGGGTCTTTTTTTAAAACTCTTTACCTTACTAGTCAGCAACTAGTCCCAGAAGTCCTATGATAAGACATGGATGCAAAACAGAATCCTGTGTCCTGTAATACTGCAATAATTGCACACACGCTCACTCGCCCCTGGGTCTTGTAGCTTCTATGGGGAAAGGCAGCACCTTTGTCAGATACCTTCCCAGAGGCAAGACAGTGGAAAGAACTGAGTACAGACACAAAGCAGGCACCAGTAGCCCTGCTCTCTGACATACTGTGGGAGGCCCTGTCTACTCACTGGGGACTTCACTGGGACAACAACGCGCTTGCACAGAAAACTAAAATCTTGTGCATCAACAAACAGATTTAATAGGTTGGGTCAGTTGTGATGATAAGTTCCTTGCTGCAGTGAATAGTATGCATTAGTAAGAAGGGGAAGAAAGTGGGCATTTGTAGAGTATTGGGGGTTTTGCTTCAGTGGTTTTCTTTCCATGAGTCATTCAAAGGCATGATAGCAGCTTGTAAATGTAACAAAAAAAAAAAAAAAAACATGGCAAACACATTTAAGAATATTAGTCAGAGACACTAATGTCCTATTCTGTGATGGCAAAACAGACTCCTGTATCAGCTAATCAAATGACAAAGGTCCACTTGTAGTGTTGGTTGTGAAACGTGACTAAATCTAAAAGACAAATTAGTCAAATTAGCTGATGTAGGTGTTATCAGCTCCCACCTTAGTTACCTTTCTCTGCAGCAAGTTACTGTGCCACTGCCTTCTTGCTACTATGAAATAATACTTTTTCATATTTTTCATTCAGCCCTGTAATAAGTGTTCAATAAAAACAATCAAAAGAGACATTGCCCTTAGTATGTCTACTGCATTACACTGGTATACCGAGCTCTAACTGCAGCAGCGGTACTGCAGTGGTGGAAATGTCAGCTAACCACACTGTTGTGCTGCCTTCTTTTCACTTTTTTAGTTGTTGGTCACATGAAATTGGTGTTGAGAGGGTAAAATGTGACACCAAGCCCAAAACAGAAAACTTGAATTTAAATACATGAATACATATATCACTGGTAGAGTAATGGTGTGGAAATATTTGAATTGCTTTAATGTTTTTGATAGATCATGAAGAGCAAAAAGACATACAGGGATGAGATTTTGTTCCCATGAATAGTGGGAAAAGTTTTTCAAGACTGAGAAACTGTGAACATGTGACACACATGAATGACAAGTGACAGATGGGAAACATGTCAGTTCTTTTGAATGAAAAGACGGCCGACATTAAATGTAATGCACTACTTTGAGTCAATCATCTGATATAGGTAAAAGTTTATATTCCATCAATGCACATTTTGAATGCGATTCACGAGTCAAATGGTGGTGGCGGGGTGAGGGTATGCTACTTGTACCAAAACAAATGCGTAAAAAATTGAGAGGGATTGCTTGTTCAAGTCGAATCAGACTGTAGGCTACTGAATGCATTCAAGAGTAATGGGGTGTGTCTACGTCCAAAGAACTCGGGCTCACAACGAAGCTATTCGACGCTAAAAATAAAATCTGTAAAAATACATAGGCCTAGCTTTAAAATATTTGCGGATAATTAGGCCTACTAAATAGCTTATGCCATTCAAATAGACCGTTTAAGAATAGCCAACCTGTCTCCGAGCTGACAAGCATCCCCCTCTATTTAATATTGCGCTGGTTTCACTATCACTGCAACAGGTACTTTACTAACAGCCGTGTTATGAATACTGCCATACAGGAAATCTCCAGAAAAGCAATGATTTGCCTTAAAACCGAGATACTATAATAATAATAATAATAATAATCCAAACCTACATGCTTAAAAACAGAACATCTGATCTCACCTATTGCTTGGTCTCCTTTTCTCTGTGTGCTTTTGAGTTGCACCCGCTTGATCAAGACCAGTCAGACAAGAAAAGTTTAAGATGAAAACATAGACGTCTTAATAAGCAGGAGAAGTCTTGTCCTGTTTATGTAGAGATGTTCACCTGATGAAGTAACAGCGGATGGTTCAGGATCGCTGCTTTCCAACAGCTGGCTGCTGCAGCCCGCCTCTCTGTGTCACCATACACCGCCTCCTCGATCGTGTCATTGGACTCCTCCGCCTCCTATCCGTCTTCAAACGCGCAAGGCTGTCAACTTGTTCACACTGCATACACTGTGTTTCTTGCTTCTAGGGCTACTAAAAGATCCATATTTTAGAGCAGGCACCAGCCATTTAGTAAGATTTTAGTACCAAGGAGACCTTTCAAAGTAGTTTTGAATCTGTGTAGGATTTCAACACTGCAGGAACGGGAGAGGTGACAGGAGTCAGCAGAAAGAGCTTTGTGGTGCAGGCTACACTTAGGGTCAGTCACTCTATCAGAAAAAAAAAAACTAAATGAAACCATTTCCAGATCAACAAGCTGCATTACAATTACATTACATGAAAAATAATATATTAGCAAAGAAAGCAAGACAGGGGCTGCAGGTCTTTATTTGTTTTACCACCTAAAGCTCCCTCACATGCCCTTGAAGGTTCTTGGACCTTATTTTGGATATCATCACTTCTCACACTGGCATCATTGTTGAATTTCTAATAGTCTTTTCAAGGTAGTCAGATATCTGTTTTCTTATTTATTACAATAAATCTGGTTTTTACATGTGACATAATTTTCACCCACTTGTTGCAAGAGGTTCTTTTACCTCAGCTGATGTATTTGAACAAGTGAGTAGGCTATTGTTCATAAACATTCTTCAGCCTTTACTTAAATGGGAATATAGTGTCTGTTTAGTTGGTTTTCCAAACGTTAAAGAGTGACAATGACTGCATGATGTATAAAATAAAACCACAGTATTGGGTTTAACAACATTTGTGGTTTACTCACAGTGAATATAACCACTGTTTATTATGGCTTCATAAGTTGTGAAAGTGATTTCCCTTAGACAGACAAAGACAGACAGACAGATAGATAGATGGAACGTCCCCTTGGGGACATTTGTCTTATGATATGAAAACTATGAATTAGGGGTATAACGGTACACAAAAAGCACCATTTAGTAGCCTATACCTCAATTTTGAAGTCATGATTTTGTCCATTTTTGGTATGTCTACACAGGGGTGGATCTAGAAAATTTTGGACAGGGTGGCCAGACTGGGCATACACTCAGAAAGGGGTGACACATTTGAAATATATGTAAATAAGTAAATAAAACCCCTAGTTGTATGAAATAATAAACCATACATGATTAAGAATCCAATTGTTTATGGATGCCAAGTAACCTACTACACAACAACACAATTAGAAAAATGAATGCAAATATCATGTTGCGTGCAAACAAATTTGACCAACATCAGTTATAGAGCACCAGAAAGATGTTAGTTGAATTTAAGGCAACAAATTGTCATTCTTTTTAATTTTTCATTCATTAATACTGATAAACATCACTTTTGAACTCTGGCAGGGGTGGCCAATCAGATTCTAGGGGTGGACGGTGCCACCCCTGGCCACTCCCTTAGCTGAACTTGAAGGCTTACAGTAAGGGAGAAAATAGGCTATATGTCATAAAATTGCTTGTCATTTATTATGAACTTTTGTAAAGATCAACAGTTTTCAACTGTTCAATCCATCATCCGAAAATGGAAAGCTACCAAGACATGGCCGTCCACCTAAACTGATGGGCCGGACAAGGAGAGCATTAATCAGAGAAGCAGCCAAGAGGCCCATGATAACTCTGGAGAAGCTGCAGAGATCCACAGTTCAGGTGGGACAATCTGTCCACAGTTCAACTATTAGTCATGTACTCCACAAATCTGGCTTTTATAGAAGAGTGGCAAGAAGAAAGCCATTGTTGAAAGAAAGCAATAAGAAGTCCTGTTTGCAGTTTGCCCCAAGCCATGTAGGGGACACAGTAAACATGTGGAAGAAGGTGCTCTGGTCAGATGAGACCAAAATTGAACTTTTTGGTCTACATGCAAAACGCTATGTGTGGCAGAAACCTAACACTGCACATCAACCTGAACACATCATCCCCACCGTGAAACATGGTGGTGGCAGCATCATGCTGTGGGGATGCTTTTCTTCAGCAGGGACAGGGAAGCTAGTCAGAGTTGATGGAAAGATGGATGGAGCTAAATACAGGGCAGTCCTGGAAGAAAACCTGTTAGAGGCTGCAAAAGACTTGGGACTGGGGCGGAGTTTCCCCTTCCAGCAGGACAACGACCCTAAACATACAGCTAGAGCTACAATGGAATGGTTTAGATCAAAGCATATTCATGTGTTAGAATGGCCCAGTCAAAGTCCAGACCTAAATCCTATTGAGAATCTGTGGTAAGACTTGAAAATTGCTGTTCACAGATGCTCTCCATCCAATCTG